GATATAGATCAATTAATGACCCTGAGAAACCTTATCATGTGAATGAATTCCCTCAGCAATTAAAAGGCCGTGCGCATGGCACAACAGGAACGTTGGAAGCTCTCATTAGTGTATAGTTTTCCACAACAAGATCAAGACAAGAATGATGTATTAAGATATAAATAGTAAAGCAAGTTTCCTTTGTACAGCTATGATTGCAAAAACTCGGCGTCTTTTAAGTTTTAAAGCACTAAAATTTCAAAGTTCTTAAATGGAAGAGTTTAGGAACATAACATTTAGTCATGGTTAATTGTATTATTATATTTCACCTTGTTACAGAAATCTCTTAGAAAACATTGATGGTCATAACCGCCAGTGTCAGTAAACACAGACTATCTATTTAATTGGAAAGCACCATTTTCTAAGAGTCACATCCCTCTGCTATTCAAGCTAACTACCTTTGTAATTTTCCTTTGTAATTAGTTCCTCTTGGAGTTAGTAGCTCTGCTGGCACTGAAGCAGACCGAAGCAGTCCATTGCTAAAATGACGGAAAATTGCTTTTCCCTATTACTTGGTCTTTTCTATTGCAAACAGCTATTCTTAAATTTCTCACCTTCGTCTGTATTTATGTCAATGAATGGCTTATAGAACCATTTTTTCTAATTATGTTGAGATTTCAGAGGAAAGCCTGGTCAAGAATATCCAAAAATATGTTTGTAACTTGCCTGTGATTTGAAAACATTTTGCACACATAGAACATCTGTTAAAGTAGTTTTAAAATGGAATCACCAATCCTGTTCTAATCTTGTATCTCTACTACAATGGTTAGTTTCATTTGGGAATGTCTGTGGGTATAGATCTTTCTTTCAGTAGAGCAGATAGAACTCACACTACTTTTTAAAAAGATTTATTTTATTTTTATTAGAAAGTCAGATATACAGAGAGGAGGAGAGACAGAAAAGATCTTTCGTCCAATGATTTACTCCCCGAGCGGCCATAAGAGCTGGAGCTAAGCCGATCAGAAGTCAGTAACCAGGAGATTCTTCCAGGTCTCCCACACAGGTGCAGAGTCCCAAGGTCTTGGGCTGTCCTCAACTGCTTTCCCAGGCCACAAGCAGGGAGCTGGATGGAAAGCGGGGCTGCCAAAATTAGAACCAGTGCCCATATGGGATCCCAGTGTGTGCAAGGTAAGGACTTTAACCACTGGGCCAGGCCCTCACAATACTTTAAAAACAAGCAAAGTTTATCCATTTTTATTGGAAAGCCAGATTTATAGAGTGAAGGAGATACAGAGAAGATCTTGCATCTGCTGATTCACTCCCCAAGTTGCCTCTACTGCTGGAGCTTAGCCAATCGAAAGCCAGGAGCCAGGAGCCTCCTCTAGGTGTCCCATGCAGTTGCAGGGTCCTAAGGCTTTGGGCCATCTGCACTGCTTTCCCGGGACACAAAGAGAGAGTTGGATGGGAAGCGGAGCATCTGGGACATGAACCTGTGTTCAAATGGGATCTGGCACATGCAAAAGGAGGATTTAAGCTACTGGACTATCATGCCGAATCCTGCATTAAAATGTGTTTTAAAATGATTTTCTAATCGTGCCCGGAGGTGTGGCCTAGCAGCTAAAGTCCTCGCCTTAAACGTGCCAGGATCCCATATGGACGCCGGTTCTAATCCCAGCAGCTCCACTTCCCGTCCAGCTCCTTGCTTGTGGCCTGGGAAAGCAGTTGAGGACAGCCCAAAGCCTTGGGACCCTGCATCCTCTTGGAAGACCCTGAAGAAGCTCCTGGCTCCTGGCTTCAGCTCCGACTGTTGCAATCACTTGGTGAGTGAGGGAAGGCTTGAGGGTTCCTGGAGAATTTGTCCATGTAGATAGAACTTGGTTAACTGAAAAGAAGGAATTAGGGATAAGAAAATAAAGATGAAGAAGGCAGAAAATCATGAGGCTGTTTTACTGAAAAAGAACAGGAATTTTCAGTAGCAGAAATTCATTGATTATGAAGGACTGAAAGAATTCTAGAATTGATAAAGTACTATAATTTATAAGTTTTCAAGATGAAAATAATACGGACACAGAATTGTTATAATCTATGTTTGGTCAGAGGATTGCAATACACAAACCAAAATAGAATTATGTATAGCATAGACTTTGTTCAGTTTTATTAAGAATACAACTGCGTTTTAATACACTATTTAAAACTCAGTGAAAATATGTTGTGTATAAAATGAAAACCAAAGTATTTTAAAAGTTTCTTTACTTATTTGAAAGGCAAAGAAAGCGAAAGGGATTTTTCATTCATTAATTCTCACCCAAAACGCCAACAGTAACCAGGACTGTGTTGTATCAAACCAGGTGCCAGGAACTCCACTGGGCATTCCCTTATGGATGGCTGGGAACCACAGATTATCTATTATCTGTTGCCTACTAGCATCTGTGTTAGTAGGATGCTACTTCAGCAGCAAAAATGGGGCTTCATTCCAGTCACTTTAATAAGAAGTGGGATATTCCAAGCAACAACTTAACTTGATGCATCTCAATGCATGCCACAAAATATGGTCTTTAAAAAAAAGCTTAACTATAAACACACTAAAGCCTACAACAGTCATACATATGCACACAACATTCACAGACATCATATCACATCACATTATATCCAAGCATACTATAATAATGTGTGTATTGCTTTTCTGGGAAGCTAGTCAAGCAGCCATTAAGAAGAGTGTCTATTAAGCTACCTTTCTGTAATGTGTAATTGTTTTCTTATTAGCATAAATGACCTGATTCTGAAAAAGTAAGTTAAAGAAAAACATATACTTTTTAAAGGATTTATTTATTTTTATTGGAAAAGCAGATATACACAGAGAAGAAGAGGCAGAGAGAAAGAACTTCTGTCCGCTAGTTCACTCCCCAGATGGCAACAATGGCCAGAACTGAACTGATCTGAAACCAGGAGTCAGGAGCTTCTTACCATACAAGTGCAGGCTCTCAAGGCTTTGGGCCATCCGTGGCTGTTTTCCCAGGCCACAAGTGGGAAGCTGGATGGGAAGTGGCGCAGCTGGGATATGAACTGGTGGACACATGGTATCCCGCATGCAAGGTGAAGGTCAAATCATTACGTCATCATGCTGAGTCTAGTAAAATATACACTTTTAAAACATTTGTACCAGAGCCTCTGAAACTGTGTCATAAAATGAAATGTAATTAATTAAAAACCAAACCAAAAAAAGAATTGCATCTAAAAATTACATTGAATCTGCTAAAAACTAATTAAAATTTGAAAGAAGACAATAAAAAAATTAGTAAAAACTTATTTTCTTAACAATGCATGAATGTTCAACTTGACAATTTAAATATTTTCAAGTTAGTATTTTCTGTTAATTTTGGTTTAAAGCTAGTTTTAATATAAATCTTGAATGTGAATTATATATTTTATTCATTCCACATATACTTTATTATGATTTTGACTACATTTCAAATGTTAAATGCATATTAAATGTATTGTGCACATATGAAAATTATTTTATAAATAAATAAAGTTTAAAAAGCTTAATTAAAAATAGGTATTAATATGGGTCTTTAAAATATTAAACATAAAACTAAAAGGAGCCATAACTTCTTAGACATGACAATGAATAGCTGTATATTTCACATAATATTTTACATTAAACCAAGTTTTTCAGAGTACAAAATGATTAAGGAAGAAAATCCAGCCCCATAGGATAGATATTCCCATGGGATTATCGCGAAGACTCGGAGTACAAAGCCTGTGACTCCTTTCTGTTGCTGGTGATTGGGAGAGACGTTGTAATAAATTGACAGGCATAAAGGAAGAGCAGCGGTGAGGCTTTCCCTGCGTTTCACAAAGGCACCCTTTCACGAAGTTCTCCTTTGCCTGGTAAGTAACTATGGGTCAACACATAACTATACTTTAAATACCAAAACCATTTTGTATAAATCCGGATACTCTGAAGTTATTAGAAGTGAAAGCACTTTTAAAAAAATTGAGCCTGTAGAACAAATTTTGCAGTAAGCATGGGGCATAAAGAAATATGTCACTAAACAAACTCTGTTTCACCAATGTAAATTAGTTACCTTGTGCTCTTTCAAGTCAAGTAGTTTTAGAGACTATGACAAATTACTAGTCAGAATTATCACCTATTCAGCAATTCAAAAATAAGTGAATAAGTGAATGTCATTGAGCATGGCAAATCCGTTTACATTTGGATGTGAGCTTTCAACTACTTTTTGTACTCCTTGTCTAAAGGGGAAATGATTGATGTGATTAATGGAACTGATGAATAAACTGTGTATGTATATAAATGTAATTACTCAGGATATTTTGAACTGTTTCACTGAGGATCCATCTTTGGTCTCAACTGTTCAAGAACCACCTATTGTAATACTATAAGTGAAATCAATAGGGAGAGGGAGATTAGGGGAGGGTGACAGGAAATCCCAGAGCTTATGGAACTGCATCATGAAACAATAATAAATAATAATTTAAAAAATTACCCGGGCTGTGATTCACATTTCTTTATCAATGTTTGTTTCAAAATGTGGTTCTTGAAAATCCTGGCTATATTTTCTTGTTATTTAAAAATCATACCCTTGTGAGACCACAGAATCTGCTAAGATTGTTATCTTATTCACAGAAATGATTATAACACAGAGGCATTGGCTATGCTGTTCAGCTGCTTGCCCAATGTTGCGTAATGCATAGATAGTTCAGTCAGCTGTTGTGCGGAGGGCTTCTAATTCCAAGATCACAATACACACATGTGTGTCTTCATACACTCTTTTTAAAAATTTTCTTTGTCTTTCAGAAACATATAGCTTGAATTTTATTGATCTACTCAAGAAATCACTGATTTACAAAATTCTGCAAGAAATAATCATTGCTTGTAAGTTCAAATATCTTCATCCAGTAGCCAAAAAAGGACAGTGTGACCCTTTCTTTACAGTAACCACAATTTGCTTGCTCCTTATTTTCTCTCATTTTGGAAATTATGGAATAAAGCTGGCAATATGGAAAGAGCAAATCATTCAGTGGTATCTGAATTTATTTTGCTTGGACTTTCCAAGTCTCAAAATCTTCAGATTTTATTCTTCCTGGGATTCTTTCTGGTGTACGTGGGGATTGTGTTGGGAAACCTTCTCATCTTGGTCACCGTGGCCTTTGACTCACGCCTTCATACACCAATGTATTTTCTGCTCATCAATCTGTCCTGTATTGATATGATCCTGGCTTCTTTTGCTACTCCTAAGATGATTGCAGATTTCCTCCGAAAACAGAAGACCATCTCCTGGTGGGGGTGTTACTCTCAGATGTTCTTCATGCACCTTCTGGGTGGCAGTGAGATGATGCTGCTGGTAGCCATGGCAATAGACAGGTATGTGGCCATATGCAAACCTCTCCATTACATGACCATCATGAACCCACGGGTGCTCGTGGGGCTGTTACTATCCTCCTATGCGGTGGGATTTGTCCATTCGTCTAGTCAGATGGCCTTCATGTTAAATTTGCCCTTTTGCGGCCCCAATGTTGTAGACAGCTTTTTCTGCGATCTTCCCCTTGTGATCAAACTTGCCTGCAAGAACACCTATGTCCTCCAGCTCCTGGTCGTTGCTGACAGTGGCCTCTTGTCCCTGGTCTGCTTCATCCTCTTGCTTATCTCCTACACGGTCATCATATTCTCGGTCAAGCACCGGGCTGCGAGTGGATCCTCGAAGGCCTTCTCCACTCTCTCTGCCCACATCACGGTTGTGACGCTCTTCTTCGCTCCCTGTGTCTTCATCTACGTGTGGCCCTTCAGTAGGTACTCTGTGGACAAGATACTTTCTGTGTTTTACACAATTTTTACACCTCTCCTAAATCCTATCATTTATACATTAAGAAATCAAGAAGTAAAATCAGCCATTAAGAAAATAAGGTCTCGGCATATAAATTCAAAGCACACTTTTTAGATGACATTTCCACACAAACACAGTCTGTTGCTTGGATGCCGTTGAGAGAGTCACTGCTGTCTTTCAAGTTCTGTATAATGAAATGGTTGGTACAATGCTTAAAAAGTGAATCTCTCTTCATATGTGTGAATTTTAAAGGCTAAATTTTTACAGTCAGACTGATACACAGCTAAATTCTACCGTAATTACTTTCATGCAAATTACAAATATAAATAAATCTCCTGTGATTTAGTTTCTTCATCTGTGGAGCCTTATTTATATGCTTCTTTTATTAATGTTTGAATGTGCCTTTAATTCTTGAAGATGAATGATGCTATTTTTGTTCTTAATAGAAATATGCATTTAGAATATGTACAGATGATATAGCTCACATATTATTTGCCCCAATGATTGGTTAATGAGTGCCTTGAGCAAGAAAAGTCCATTTTCTGAGTAAGCACTGGTAAATGCATATTAGGTTTTACTGACTGATTCACCATAGGCACAGTACCTACGACCTTTCTTTATATTTAGTGAGCTTCAAAAATATTACCGTATATAACTAAGGAGTGAGAAAATGTATGGATGGACAAAACAAATCCAATTTACTACTGTGTAATGGCATTAATAGGACTATCTTACAGGATGTGAAGATACTCCAAAAGAGCTCAGAGGACAGGGATCTAGAACAGGGTGAGAGTTGAGACTACTGAAATTTGGAAAAGAGACCAGACTTGTGGCCTTAGCATTTTGTGGGGTTCTTTCAGAGTAGCGACTCCCTTCAGGCTGGAACCTACCCAGTAGGGGCAGGCTTGGCAATGCATTTTAAACCTCCTCCCAGGGATTCCCCACTTCCCGGGACCATGAACACTTTAGAGTCACCCTTGGCTCTGCCAGGGAAGCTTTTGTTCTGCAACGTGTCTCTCGGGATGGGCGGCAGGGTCAAAATCCAGGGGAAGGATTGCAAGTTCATACATTTTACCAGTATAAACAAACATCTGCGTCTTCTCTTTCCTGACTGTGCATAAGTTGGTTCAGATCTTCCAAGAAGAAGGGAAAGGGTGACACGTCAGGGAATCCTGTAATCAATATTTTGTATCATGTCAAGTATGCTTTATAACTCAAAAAATATTCCCTGTAGTCCACACTTATGGAAATTTTGCCAAATGTGTTTAGTTTTGTAACCATCACAATTATCACTCAAAGACCCCCTTGTATCGCTTTGCAGTCATCCTAGCCTTCAGATCTTGTGCATCTGACACTAGCAATGTGGTGTTTGTTCTTGGAGTTTCTCTTGTCATTTAAGTAGTCATGTGATAGTCTTTTGTAAATATCTTCATTCACTTTGTATAATGATTCTGAGATTTACCCAAGAGAAAGTTGCTATAATTAATGTGTCTGTTATATTTTAAAAACTATATACATGGGTACAATCATTTATTTTCTCAAAATATCTTGATTTCTCTCATTCAGGTATTCATTTATGTTAAAAAGAAGTAACTTACCAAGAATTATGGGCCCTACGTGGCTACAGTTATGTAGTTATATAAGTGGCTATATCCTTTATAAAGTGTTTTAAAGAAAAATACTATTTTGACTATATAGTCTTATTGCACACTATAATTTATTTTAATTCATTGCATGCAATTATGTTTCAATTTTTTATTGCATACTAAAACACACAAAACATGTGAATTGTTCTTAGTTCTAGTGAGTCCATTTTATATTGTATTATTTTTTGTTATTTCTGAAATGCAAAAACCTTGTAACGTATTTTGGTCACTATAGAAAAATCTAATTAGTTTTAATTGATTATCTTTGGCTTTCCTTATAATGTTTCATCTAGGATAAGCTTATGTTTTCTCTTATTTTTTACATCTTAATTTATATTTACCTCAGGACAAGTTTAGGACCTATTTTTCTGAAATTTATTTTCATGAAAGATAAAGAAAAAAAATCAATACCTACCATAAAAGCTCTGAAACAATTATCTCAAACAAGGAAAAATTTTGTATTTTTATATATTTACACAGTAGACAATGGCAATTTTTCAGAAAAATGAAGCTTAGCATTTAAAATCTGCAATCTATGGCTTATTTAGGATAGTACCTGATTTTGATGGAGACATTATTAGCATTTGCAATTATAGAAGTGAATTTATCAGTTGGTATAAGAAAACTAAAAAGTGAATCTGGGGGTGGATGTTTGAGACCACCACTTGGCATGATGGTATTCCATCCTGCCTCTGCTTCTGAGCTAGCTTCCTGTTGATATGCACTCTGGAGATTAGCAGATAGTTCAATTGCTGGGCGTTGCCACTCATGTGCGGGACCTGAGCAGAGTTCCTGTCTCCTGGATACAACCTGGTCCAGAAGATGGAAGATACTCTGTGTGCGTGTGTGCGTGTGTGTGTGCATGTGTGAGTGTGCATGTGTGCATGTGTGTTTCTCTCTCCTTAACCCCCCTCTTCCTTTTAAATAAATAAAAAAATAAACTAAACTTCAAAACACACCAATCAACCTGATACAAACATACAAGTGGGGTCATACGCCACCTAGTGATAATAATTTTCCTCCATTTCTCTCCGTTATTTCAAATAAGACAGTAAACACTAGGAACATGAATTGACTCAGGTGAGCCGGAGTCTTCCCAATTCCATTCATGCTAAGTGGTTTTAACTTCTGTAACTTCCAAAGAGCTAATCAAGTTAACAGTCTTTCTACCGCTACCAAAGCAAATTCTCACAACTACTTTCTACCCATAACTAATTTCGGACTTTTAGTGAACATGACAACCTACTAATCATTAGTAAGAATTAAACTCTTCCATAAAAAACAAGACAGACTGGTTAAAAATAAATGGCATTTTTTATAGAAAATAATTGGGATCCTGCATTTGTGTGAGAGACCCAAAGGAGGCTCCTGGCTCCTGGCTTATTATCAGCTCAGCTCTGAGCATTGCAATCATTTGGAGAGTTAGTCAGCGGATGGAGGCTCTTTCTCTTTGTCTCTTTCTCTGTGTAAATTTGTCTTTCCAATAAAAATAAATAAACATTTAAAAAAGTAAATGTGACTTATGAAAAGGACAAAAGCGTCAGGTTAGATTATTGATATTGATGGCAACAATAGCTTAATACAGAATTGTATGTAGTATTGATTTGAAGGTAAACTTATTCTAAGAACAATTTATTATTTAATGCATTTTAATATATGTATAACCTACAGACAAGCAAGTCCTCTCTTGAGTGTTCTTAGAGAAAACCTGATACCAGAAACATACATTTACATCAGATATACAGATAGACATAAATACACAACATTATAGAGCAAAAATGTCTGTTTGTATCCTTGAATATAAGTGGATTCAATTCCCAACTAGCATTTGCTAGCATTTGGAGAGTGAACAAATACATGTGGAAGTGTCTATCTCTCCTATTGCCTTTCAATAGATGAAAACAAATAAATCTTTTTAAAAAAATTACTGGAGATGGATAAAAATTGGAGCAAAACATAACCATTTTTATTTCAGGAAAGTATTTCTGTAACTGGAGAATGATTGAGTGATCTTAGATTCTTGTCTTCATTTAAGAAAGAATTCAGACAGGAGACAGAGAGCAGTTGTCAGCACATTAACCCAGTTTAGTGAAGACAGGACACCTGACAGACCAGGGAGGCATCTCAAAGAGCCACAGTGACTAATTTTCTTTCAGGCTGCAGTATGTAAGGATTTGGGTACAGGCTCAATGTTTCTCTTTCTTCATGCCTTTCTGGAATGTTGCTGGGTGGAGGGCTTCCAAGTGTGAAGGAATCCAGGAGATTCCCCTCAGAACTTCACATTGCACCTGAAAGCCTCCTTGGTGTAGGGGCAGAGGGAAGTTTCCCCTAAGCTGCCTCTGGGAGGGATCAGAACCCATAACCAAGTTTAAGGAGCTATGACAAGACTTTTGATGTGTAAACACGGGTTTGCTTCCATGACTTGCTTCTACATTTCTTTCCTCACTCAACCCACAAAAACGTTCATTTCTTAAATAAAACTCCCACTTCCCTCATCCCTCTTGCAGACACAGGCTAATGTCAGAGCAGTGTTTTGCACATCCAAAGTCTTGGTCTTTTTTCTTTCCCATGTTAGGTCGGCTCATTAGCAAAGGCTGGATTGGAAGTGTAGAGGCCCGAATTACACCTGGCTGCCATGTGGGAGGTCAGCATTGCAGCAAGCAGTTTAACTCGCTGTGCCAGAGCGAGAGACCAGAAATTTTGTTTTTTGAAAAAAAAAAACATTAAGCAAAATTCGCAAATGGTTCAATTCAGACTAACTTAAAAAACACAAATCAATAAACTCACGAATAAAGTAGAAGCTTTGCAAATGTCATCTCAAAATTCTAGTTATGCAGAACTACTATATGACAGCAGATTAAAAATAGAAAATATTAACAAATTTCTGGACTCATGAAACATACTGCAACAAAATCATGAGGAAATGAAAAATATAGAGAGGTCAATAGTGAAGGATGATTTGAACCAAAAGATAGTTTGTGAGATTCCAAGATGATACTGATTTTAATCACGGAACACCAGAAAAACACAGAGGAGGTCCTGCAGTCCAGGGAATAGTTGGTGAGATGTTTTCAATAAAACCTGTGGAAAGAAGAGAGATTCCATGGAGTAACAAAGATTGTACAGACGCACAACAGCTTATGGACCCCACCAACACCTCCATGGCTGGAAGCTGGTGAGGAGGGCAGCTTCCCAGAGCAAGATGACAGGAGTTTGGAAAAGCCTGTGCTCTACTGGTGATGTCGTCTCAGGAAGATACTTATAGTCTATGCTGAGCTGGTGGGGATAGTGCGTACTTAACTCAGTGAATGGACACATTGCTTCTCTACCTTCCCCCAACAGGATGCCCAGTCACCAGCAGCACAGACTGGGAAGTTTGGTTCCCCTCATGCCTATAATGGGTTTTGTCAGAGGAAGAATTCCAGTCTCCACTGACATTGTGACAACGCATTTGAGCTGGAGGAGGGC